GTTAAAATTTGTTCATATTAATTCTCTAATTAGCATAATATAATATGTTCATAATAATTCATAATTTTTTTGTTCTGTTCTTTTCTGTTCATATTAGTTACCTGATTTACATAATTAGTTTTCAGCTTTTCCATCAATATCTCATGTACAAGTAATTTTGAATTAATTTTTGATGTGTCTTCAATACTCGAAGCACACGGGAGTTCTTTCTAAGCTTTCTTTGATTAATATTTGAAACAGCCAATATTATTGATTGACCATTTTATTCTTCCATCACACTTATTTGCGTTATTGCATTTCTTACTTTTTGCTGCATATTGTAAAAATACCAAATATGTATGGTAAGTATAAAATCAAAATCAGTTTTACTCAACTGAAGATAATTAATTTTAACCCTTTTTGCTGGGATACCGCATTGCAAGGTGCGCTGAAAGTTGTTTTCAGCATTCTTGACTGCCATGTGTGAAGCACACAACATGTATGTATGTTTGTTTGTTTTTTACTCTAACATCTCAAAACCGTTCGTTCAATCAAATTTAGTACATAGATGCCCTGGGATACTGTTAAAATATCAAATTTTCAAATGTGGTTAATCTGTAGCTATTGTTGGCCTGAATAAATTTGAAATTGATATTCTAAAAATTGTATTTTGGTGATTTTTGAAATGTTTTTTTTTAGCTCAGCTGTCAACTTTGGCGAGCGGAGCTTATCATATGAGTGATTGTCTGTCATCATTGTCCGTCGTCATAGTCCGTCATCCGCCGTCTGTGTCAATGTTTTATTTTTTCGACTGCTTCTTGAAAACTATAAGCCTGAATGCTTTGATACTTGGTGTATATGTACCTTAGATTTGTTCATTTCATGATGATATCATATGATATTTTGGTGAATATTTTTGTAATTTTTGGTAAAAAGTGTTATTTTTGACTTCTTGTTAAAAACCGCAAGTCCAATTGCTTAGATATTACATATATGGGTACTGCACGGGACCTCTCTCAGATTTGTTCATTTCATGATGATATCCTCAATTCTCTAATTTTGGTGATTATTTTTGTAATTTTTGGTAAAAAGTGATATTGTCAACTTCTTGTTAAAAACCACAAGTCTAATTGCTTTGATATTATATATACATGTACTACATATTTACTACAGGTAGACCTCTCTCAGATTTGTTCATCTCGTGATGATTTTGTTCCTTCAATTATATAATTTTAATGAATATTTTTGATAAACAGTTATATTTTCAAATAATTTTTTGAAAACAGCAAGTCTGATTGCTTTAATACTATACATATTGTTCATTTTCTGATGATATCTTCAGTTCTTTAATTGAAATGTGCATTGCTAATAACGAAGCTACATGTATCTCAGCAGACAGGCTGCTAGTTTTTGTAAATGTTTTCAGTATAGGGTGCTCTTTAACTTTTTGTTCAATAACTTCAGTGTTTTAACATTCTCAATGAATTTAATAACAAATATCTACTAGAACAGCTCCATGTTTAACTAATCAAAATAATTTAAATTTCTGCATTCAATGTATCCTCAACACACCAGAGTTCCTAGGTTTCTTTGATTTCTTTGTAGATATGTTAATCTGTGATGTTTTATAGTTAACAATATCTGAGTGTATAGCTTCTCATTTCTGCATCCTTAGTTGTGCTTTATATTTGTTTGTTCACACATCATTACTGAACTCAATTTTTTTAGCCCCCATTTGGCCACTGTTCAAAATCATGATCTGTTAATTTTGCGAAAGTCAATGACCTTCATGTCATAGGACCCAAGAAATATTTTCGCTGCTACAAATTGTCCATGGCTCATGAAATTGAAATGGTTTACAGTACTTAAACATATCAGCAACTGTTTCTCCTAGATGATTAGGATGATTTGCATCAAAATTGGTATGATAATCATACATATTTGGTTACATGTCCATGTCATTTCTTTCCCTTGATCCAATCAAATATTGCCAACTGGGGCCATTTGTATTTTATGTTGTAAATGCCAGTTTCTCTTGAATAATATAATTATTTCAATTTAATCCCAATTTTATCAATTTAATTTTATCACCAAAAACTGAAGTACACACAGATACATTTGCACCAAAGTGACGACCATTATGTTTTCATGCATATT